TCCGTTCGAAGAGAAGGTTGCTTGTCTACTTTTTTTCTTGGGTTCTCAGGGTGGATACCGAGAAACTACTGCTGCCTTCGCTATTTTGATATCATGGGCAATCGATGTAATTGCTGTCTTTCTACGTGTATTACGGCAATCGGTGCACAAGTTTATCCGTTTTCCTCGGTGCATCGAAAGCTGGGCTCAAGTGCAAGAATCATTTCAAGCAAAGAGGGGATACCAGGTGTAGTTGGAGCGATAGACGGCTCGTTAGTGGAGATTAACAGGTCGGTCGACTTCGAAGGTTACTACTGTAGGAAGATGTTCCCAGCGTTGAACGTGCAGGCCGTTGTGGACCACCGTATGCGCTTTACTAGCGTGAAGATTCGGCCAGGTTTATGGTCAGACCAGAAGATATGGCGTGCTGCTGCGTTGGGATCTACGTACGACAAGTATTTACCCACTGGAACTCCTTCCTTGGTGACGCTGGGTACGCTCTCAGTCCAGTAATTATGACATATTATGTGGAGAAAGATGGCGCTGGTCTGGCACGCAAGCAGCTTCGCTACAATTATCTGCATTCACGGAGAAGAATGGTGGTAGAACGTGCCTTCGGACTTTGGGAGGGCCGATTTAGAATTGTCAATTGCTGTCTGAACACGCGGAGTGTTGAAAAGACATCATAGCTGCAACAATGGTACTGCACAATATATTGCTGGACACCAAGGATGACACAGTCTTCGAAGAAGAAGGGAGACATACGACGATGAAACGGCGAGTTCGAACGTGTTGGATACGACTGCTTGTTTTTAAGATCAGTTGCAACAAGCAAGCGCGATTCAATTCTGGATTTCACTGAATCATTTGATTCTGTGTAGCTTGCTAGCTTCGTATTTCCGACAAATTAACTCTAGTAGCTATTGTCTGTTGCTAGTACTCGTGATGAATAAACTGCAGCAGCTCTCGAAAAAAAAAGGTTTCGTTTTGCACTCTGAGCTGTTCATTCAAAGTTTGCAAGCTGCTCGGATTGGGTATTAGCGCGGTCACTCTGCTCCTGTAGCGCGTTTGTCTGTTTTTCCTACAGCTGCAGTAAGCCCTTCACTACCATCGTCTCGCACTTGGGCTAGCCCTTTTGCAAGTGCTTCCATCCCCTCACTAAATCCTTTGGCAACGGCACCTAACCCGGCCTCAACGCATTCACCTTGGCTGCGATTCAAGCGCTTGGTAGAGGGACCCGCGCGCAATTCCGATACGAGAATTCGTCTTGAACTGGAATCGGGGGACGAGGGCAGTGATGTTGCTCTGCTGGCTTCTCATGCAGCTGCAATAGTGTCCATGTCCTCGGTGCTGAGATGAGGACTGTTGTTCATGCCCGTCGCATCGCCCCAGTAGACTTCCATAATGCAAAAATGATTGGAACGACGGACAGGGCCTCCATTGCCTGTTTGTCCTTCCTCTTCCCGAGCTGAAGCCCATTTCTGCTTCATGTTCTTCACCATGATGAAACCCACAAAGCATACATATCGTCAGTTAGGTTAGCAAGTATGTCATTTGACACTAAGCTTCCGGTTACCTTGGCTTGATAATGCTGATCGGTAAACACTTTGTGGCGATTAACGGAGAGCGTAGACGCCAGGACGGACCAGGCGTACTTGATCCTCTTCGTGTCCTTCGTGTTTTTGAACGAAGCCTGAAAAACTCTTCGACGTCGTCGTCGCTCCACGTGGCGTTTGGCCGCGAGCAGCTGTGATTCTTGTTGCTGCTTCTCGAACTAAGGAGACTCCAGCTCCTATCACATCTGACCTCGTATTTGCCCCCCCCCCCCCATCGACGCTGCTTAATCCAGTATCAACTTCTACCACCAATGTCATGGTACTCAGCTATCAAACGCTAGTTTCTGAGCGATGGTTTTTTTTTGTAGAATGACTTCGAGTCGATGTTCGAAGTCCGAGGCAAACCGACCACCTCAGCTTAGGGTTAGGCTTTACAAGACGATCTGAACCGAGCTGATCCTTTCCCGACCACGCCCTAAGTTGTGTATATGCAGTGTGTCGTGATGTGATCTGAGAGTTGTTCGCGCTACAGGCAACATTTTTGGAACGAATTAATCTGTGTGAGGCTGTCCATACAGCTCTTCTCCCAGAAAAATATTTTTCTCGATGGGCCTCCTGAAAAAAATGCAGTTGCTGTATTTTTTTCTTAGAATTCCAGCATTCAGCAATATATTTCCGCAAAAATCAATAATAGTACATTTTGAAAATATTAAAAAGGAATATTGTTTTCAAAACTATTTTTTTAAAATAAATTGCCTCATTGGAAAGATAAAGAATAGTATTTTAATACGCCGGAGAAAATTGAAATAAGCGAAGTAATTTGGGTTCATTATCTTTTCAAATGTGGCAATATAATCATTCAAAATTGCCTTGGAGAATCAAAGAAGCTTTTCGTCGAAATACTATTAATATCAAAGGTGATATCTCTTTATAGTAATTTACCCATAAATATTTTTTTCGCGATTGCATGTCCAAGGTGCGAAAGTGCGCGGTCGAGAGCCGCCGCGCGCA